TGCTGGTTTGGCTGGGTTTTCCTTCTCACTGGAGATTCTGGTGGGTGCATATGTGTGTGTGTGTGTGTTCATTCCTGCGTGTTTGTGTTCACGTGCCAGCTCAGCTCCTTGGTTCCCACCTGGCCTCCTTCCCAGCCCTCGGTGTGGGTGTCTGGTTGGAGCAGTGGTAAGGACTCCTTGTATTGACCTTTTGCCTTGTAGTTGACAGCAGGTCTTGACCTCAGCATGATGCCAGAGGATTCTTTGTGGGGGGACTGTCCTGTGCACTGTGGAATGTTAGCAGCGTCCCCAGCCTCCACCGCTGGCTGCCAGTGCCACTCCCTACCCGCCAAGTGACAAACAGGAATGTCATATTTATGCTGAGTGACCCCTGGGGTGAAGTCACTGTGGCTGAGAAATGCTGGTCAGGTGGAGGGTCTCTGCTCTCAAGCCCTGAGGTCAGCTTCTGCCAGACCCGTTTTACAGATGGGAAAACTGAGGCTCGTGGAAGCTCTGTAACTTGAATGCAGATCTGAGGGGCCCCGCCCCTGTTTGGGGGGAGCTTCACAGCTTCCTCCCCCTTGGCTTGGCAGGGCTTGCGCAGCAGCAGAGCCCTGCTCTTGTCTCCTGGCTGTGTGACTGCCAGTCCCTTGGCCTCTTGGAGCCTAAGTTTTCCTGAGAAATGGGGCAACATCAGCACCTATTTTCTGGCTGTGGAATGCTTTGTATATTATCTTTGGCTTTTCAGAGTGAAGGGTGGGACAGGGTGCTTGAGGGACACAGATGAACAGATGCAGATTTAAAATGTCCCCACAGGCCAGGAAACGGGAACCCCTTTCCTCCCAACCTGAAGCTTACTCGCCCACCATGTCTGAGCATGCTGCAGCTCCATGCTCCCCACGATGCTGAGTGTCGGAAACCTGGTGAACATGCCGGCTTTCCTGGCCGGCAGCCTTGCGGCAGGCATGGCCAGAATCCTGCCATTTCAGCGCCCTGGGAACATCTGCGCCGACAGCTTGTGCCTGGTCTGGGCGGTACTTCTGCAGTGCAGTGTGTACCTGCGTCCCCGGGGGCCTGTTGGATGCAGGTTCCCAGACCCCATCAGAGTTGGCTGTCCGCTCTCTGAAGCAGGGGTGTCCCTGCCTGTGTTGGGAGAAGTTCTGGGCTCAAAACTTCCAGAGCCTCACCCTCAGGAATGTGCTGGAATGTCCGGAGCACTGCTCCGAGACCTGCTCAGTCTTGTCTCCATTGGCTTCTGTTTAGGGAGGGGTCTGGACAGCTGGGGCCCCTCTTTTTTAATTTAATAATTAGACTGAAAATACAAGTGCTCCATGAAGGTGAAAAGAAAGTGTCTGTCACATAGTGGGTACCCAAGAAATATACGCAGGTTGATCAGGTATTAGTTTCTTGTTTTTTTTTTCTGCCTGTTTTTTTAAATATATGATAGCTTTTGAAATTATCACAATCTTGTGAAATAGATGGCACTGTTTCCATTGTTACCAATTGATTAAATTATCAAATTGTTAAGTTATTAAACTGAGACTCAAAAGGCAACTCATATGCTTCATATGACATACACTTTTAAATAAGGGACGTGTTTGCTGTGGATTCTCAAGTCCTCATATACTTCTGTGTAAACACTTAGGTCATTTCCTGTAGGCAGACTAGATATCACGAAATGGAACTGTTGGTGCGCCCCCTCTTCTGTCTTGGTGTCAGCACCAAATGCCCAGCCCCTTCCCTATCCAGGGGCCTGGACAAGGTGCCAGGTAGAGCCTCCACCCACTCATGTGAGGTCCAGGCGGGGAGATGGATCAGGAGCTCAGGCTCCGAGCAGCTGCCTCCTCCGAGAAGCATCCCCTGACCACTCCCGACTCTGGTTCGCGGGTTGGCATATTTGCGTGTCTCTCCTCCTCCTGGATTCCGACCTCTGAGAGGCCAGGGGCCATGTAATCTTCTCGCTGCTGTGAAGCTGTGCTGTGCTGTCCTTGCCCAGAGCACACCTACAGACAGGAGAAGCCTGGGGAGGCGGAGGTGGAATTCGAACCCAGGCCCTACTCCGTTCAGGGCTCTTGTTCCCACCAGAGAGGCAGGAGGGGGTGGACGGCAGAAGCCCCTAATAAGGGAGAGAGAGCTTGGCCTGGGGCCAGTGTGCAGGTTCCTACAGGAAGCTGTCTGACCTCCTGGCAAGCAGCAGTGGGTCGCCATGGCAACCGTAGGGGTGCTGCCACCTAGGAGGGCACGTAGCAGGGATGGGGGCCCTCAGTGTGAGAACCTCCTGGCTGGGGGCAACTGGGGCTCCTCTGGGACTGGCCAGGTGTGCCCAGGCTCTTACCCCTAGGGAGGTGTTTGCTGCTGGGCCCACAGGGCCGTGGTACCCATCCCCACCTCAGCTCTGCCCTCACTGGGTGTTCACCCCTGGCTCAGGATTGCTTCTTACGTGTGTGTGCCTTTATTGTGGTAAGGTGTGAGGGAGTGCTCCGTCACTCAGTCCTGTCCAACTCTGCAACCCTGTGGACTGTAGCCCACCGGACTCCTCTGTCCATGGGATTCTCCAGGCAAGAATACTAGAGTGGGTTGTCATATCCTCCTCAGGGGAAATCTTCTTGACCCAGGAATTGAACCCACGTCTCCGGTGTCTCCTGCATTGGCAGACAGGTTCTCTCCTGCCGAGTCACAAGCGAAGCCCTGTGGTAAATGTACGCATAACCTAAAATCTGCCGTTGCAGGGCATTAAGCATTTTCACAGAGTTGTGTGTTCATCACCACCATCTGATTCAGAACTTCTGCATCACCCAGGAGGAGACCCCAGAGCACTGCCTCCCCTCTTCTGCTTGCCCCTGCATTATGACCACTCTCTCTCTGGACTAGCTTCTTTGTAGGTTTCCATGAGTGGAATTGTGCAGTCCGGAGCCTTTCCCTTCTGGCTTCTTTCACCCAGCGTCATGTCGTCAAGGTTCATCCTTGAGGATGAACACAGTGGTGGTATGTGTCAGCATGTTACTCCTTTTTATGGCGGAATAACATTCCTTGGCATGCACACACCGCAGTCTAGAAACCCATTCGGACGGGAGCTTGGGTTGCTTCTCCTTTGTGGCTGGTGCAAATAGTGCTTCTTATCTCTTAACTGTGCCCATGAGTCCGTTCGCCTCATGGAGATACTCAGACCCACAAGCACCAACTGCCCGCCCCCCTGCCCCCTCCATAGCCCCCTTCCCGGCCTTTTCTTTGCATTCAAAACATCGGGCCTCATAAAGTTGCTGTCAGTCAACTTTTTGGACCTGTAGAAATGGCAGTTTCATATGATTCCACCTCACCCATCCTTAGCACTGGTATAAACACACATCTGATTTTTTTAGTGAACATTATCACCGTTCAGTATAAATATAACAGTTTTGCATAAACAGCACGTCTGTTCTGTGACCTGGTTTTCTCTCCTGGCCGCGTGGAGAGGGAGTGGCTTGAGGTTGAGCTTGGACTTTGTCCCACTGCCCTGTGGGTTGGTCTGGGGGACCTCGGGCGCTGCTTTGTCCCGATGGATGACACTGGTGTTCCTCTGCTTTTTCCGTGTTCCCAAGGGGGCGGCCAGGATCCACTGAGCCCCGTCTTTGTTCAGGAGTAAGGGCTCCCGGATGCTGAGGGGCCCGGCAGGGGAGGGAACCTGGCTGCCACGGCCCCGCTTGATGTCCACTTGCGGTCCTCCAGCTGCCCCACCTGCGGGATTCCCAGGAGGGAACGTCTTGCCTTTTGCTTTCCAAGCAGCTTCTCTTCAAGTGGAAGGGCGGCAGGACGGGGTTCCTGGGCCTGTGTTACAGGTGTGGAGGCCCCGTCCTGTGTACCTCGAGCAGGTCTGAGAGGAGGACGAGGAGCTGATGCCCCCCTCTGGTGGCTCTGCGCCCACCCCTGTTGTGGGCAGTGCTGCAGATTGGCTGTGGGGCTCGGCGTTGGCTGGCAGAGGAGGCACCTGCCGATAGCGCCTTCCTGAGCCTCACTTTCCCCTTTGGCCGTGTGTGGCATCACCCCTGTGGTGGAGGACTGGGTGTGTGGCACGCATAGCACCCACAGTGGGCAGCCTGCCAGGTGCAATGAGTGCCAGGTGCAAGTCACAGCTCTCAGACTGATGCCCAGGGGCCACATCCCGTTCCCTCCACTCTGGTACTATGGGCAGGGTGCCTCCGAGCCCAGTGTTTCTGTTGTAAACTGGGATAATTATGAGAGCCACCCCAGGGCAAGGTTCACCAGTTAGTCTTAGGTGAGACGTGGCCGCTGGGCTGCTGAGCCCTGTCCCTGAGGCTTGGCCGTCATCTCTGCTTTTAGTCCCACCATCTGGTTATAGTTCGATTCATCATTGTCTTTGTTCCCTCAGCAAGTGAGCCAGTGCTGGGGGCCAAGGTCTATGTTGTCAGTCCATAGGTGGCTGACGTTTTAGTGGGGGGAGACAGCTGTGGAAAATAAGTAAGTCGTGTGGGTGTCACTTGGGGGCATGGCAAGATTCTGGAAGATGAATAGGGAAGTGGGGGTGGGGACAGGGCTGGCTTCGTGGACCTGGAGCCTGGCTGATCACATGGGGACTTGTGCTCAGAAGGGCCTGTGCTGGGTTTGATGCTCTGGTGCTGAAATTGCTAATCATTTTTAAACTCCCCCCGGCCCCCAGGTCATGTTGTTGCCCCTGTCAGGAGTGGATGGTATTTGGGGTGTAGGGTGGTTTGGGTGGGGGTTCCTGAAGGGGTTCGCTGAGGAGATATTTTGAGCGTAGACTTGAAGAGGGGAGCTGGGAGCCCTGTGGATAGCTGGGGAGAGTGCTGGGTCACTGTGCAGTTGTAGGCATGGCCAGTGCCACAGCCCTGCGGTGGGAGCAGCCTTATTGCTCAGACTGCACCCATTTTACAGGTGAGGAAGTGGAGACACAGGAGGGTGAGACAGCGTCGCCCAGCGGTCCCAGCTCATCCACTCCACCCTGGAGCCAGCTGTGTTTCCCTGCTCTGTCCCCTGACCCTGACCCTCTCTGCTTGGCCCTGCAGGCTGACCCCCCACTACATCTACCCACAAGCCATCGTCCAGCCCAGCGTGGTGATCCCGGCCGCCCCGGTCCCACCGCTGTCCTCGCCTTACATCGAGTACACGCCGGCCAGCCCGGCCTACGCCCAGTACCCGCCGGCCGCCTATGACCAGTACCCGTACGCCGCCTCGCCCGCCACAGCCGCCAGCTTCGTGGGCTACAGCTACCCGGCCGCCGTGCCCCAGGCCCTCTCAGCTGCGGCCCCCGCGGGCACCACCTTCCTGCAGTACCAGCCTCCGCAGCTGCAGCCTGACCGGATGCAGTGAGGCTGTCCCTGCCTGCGACCACAGCCCCATCACTGCGGGCTGGGGGGTGCCGGCCGAGTCCAGGGGTGCACACCCACCCCTGGACCTCGGGGGGCCCCGCGGGACCCCGCCGGCACCCTGGATGGCCCAGAGACTACTGATCTTTACACCTGGGACATCATGTCTTGAGAGAGGACTTGAATGACCGAAAGCTAATCGAAGAGCAGCCTGAATGTCGCACATGCACCGTCCCCACCCTCCCACTCCTTAGAGTCCGCAGGCGGTCCCTCCAGCACCCAGCGGGGTCTTCTGGACCCTCCATAAACCCCGACCGCCCTCTGGGTCCCGTTCAGAGAGGCCTTATTACTCCAGGGAAGCCCAGGATCAGGCGAAGTGCACTGACTGTTGTCACTCCATCTTCATGACTGTGAACCGCAGGTAGGGGGCTCTCCCACCCCCAGAATTCCCATTATCTAAATGTTCGCCTGGGGGCACCCCCCCACCCCCCAGGGCTCCCAGGTGCAGCAGGGCGCCCCGGTGATGCGACTGGGGCAGCCAGCCACGGTCCGTTCGTTCCATCAAGGCACTGCGGCTCTTTTTCTTATCGTTGTTTTGCTACTAAGATGATTTCAGAGTTTCAGTCTATTTTTTCAATGGAGACTCCAATCGCCAAGAATCCAAAACCTGTTTTTTTGACTTTGAGACTCACTTTGGTCGATGGCTCGTCCGCCTGAAGAGATGGTGGTGGTGTTCTTCTGATAAGTGTCTGCCAGCCCGAGCTCCTCAGAGGGTGGGTATCTTGACAGTGAGTTTTCTTAAGCTTTGCCCGCTCCCCGAGGCCGTGAAGGGGGTGCTGGCTGAGGGGCTGGACCACCGCGTCCCGGCCGGCTGGCAGGATAGAGGCTTGTCGCCTGCTGTATGCAACCTGCGGGTTTGAGCTGAGACACGTCTGGCTGCCTTGGGAGCTCGGGGAGAGGAGGCGGCGGTTCACCCACACCACGATGGGGCCCCGCCCTGGAGGAGCAGGGGAGAGTTGAGGGGCGGGCGGGCCGGAAGGTTGGGGGCACTGGGGTGCTCCTTCAGACCTACCTCAGGGACGCGGGAGGCCTCGGGGCTAACGTACGTGGGCTTCGCTGCACGCCTGGTGCAGAGTCAAAGCCCAGAAAGTAAAGGTAGCTAATATTATAATAATATTTTTATTAGAATGTTCTGATTATAAAAAATAAAACTTGTTTTCTTTAAAGAAAAAGTGGGTCTGTGGTTTTTTCCCCTTCAAAGGGAGCGCCCCGACCCCCACAGCGACCAGGCTCAGCATTGCTTATGTGCTGGGAGCAGGGCCCTGGGGGCAGAGGCCAGGGGGTTAGGGAGGGTGTTGTCATTGACGGCGCCACCAGAGCCCCATGAAAGAGAAAGCTGGGTGCTGCTGGCGGAACCTGGGTGGCACCTGCTAAGAGAGCTGAGGAGCAGGTATCCAGGCCACCCACCCTTGGGGCGCGGGCAGCCAGACACAATCAGGGTGGAGAAGAGACGTCTAGGGTGTGTGAGTAAGGGGTCCCATCTCGGGGAAGTCCCAACCTCTTCCACCACCCACCTGGAGCCCCGTCAGTGGTGGGAGATCATGGAGGCCTTCTGGAAGGAGTGTGAAGGCTGGAGAAGGAGGTTCATTTGCTCATTCCCTCAATTGTTCCCTCATTTATTCATTCCAAGAAATTGTTCTGTGCCAGGTCACATGCAGAGGCCTGGGAGTAGTCATGAACAAAGCATGCAGTCCTGCCCGGGGGGTTAGAATCTAGCAGGGACACACAGCAAGCATGCAAAGCAGCGAGGGAGACGCAGGAAACATGCAAATGCAGTGATTTCACCTGCCGGTCAGGATGCATTACCAAGTGATGGAGGAGGAGGCCTGGGTTCTAGGCAGGAACAGCAGGCACCAAGGCCCAGGTGGCTGGAGAGGCTCGTGAGGGGAGGCAGGGTGGCAGGTGAGCATAGGAGGTGGCGGGGCTGAGAGGGCAGCAGAGACCAGTGAGCGTGCTGTGAGCACAGTCTGGGTGGGTCGGGGCGGGGGGGGGGGACAGTGCAGAGATGCCCGTGCCTGGCGAGCTCAGCACGGTGTAGCTGATGCCCTGGGGGACGGGGGTGGGGGAGGGGGAGGACTGCACAGGTAGGAGGAGCACCAAAGGCAGCTGGATGGAGGGGCTCCTCCTGGTGATCTGGGGAAATGAGGTGGGTACTCCTGGTGGGGAGGCCAGTTTGAGCAGAGCTCGGAGGTTGAGGGTTGGCCTACTTTGGGGCAGCCACTCTCCAGGCACCAGGATGCTTGTCCTCCTGGACCTTGCAGAGCGTGTACGTCTGTGCCATCTCCCCCATTCACCTCCTGCACAGTAGGCGAGCCAGGCTCCCTCTGGTCCCTCAAAACTCCTCCCTCACCCTCTCTTGCAACTCCTGCTAAGCCTGCCTCTTGTCTGCCCACTCCTTGCCCCCTCCTCTGCTTCCAGCCCTGGTCCAGCATTGCCTTCCTCTCTCCTGGACCCTTGCTGTGGCCCCTTCGCTGCTTCTGCCTCCAATCTTTGGCGGTCCATGGTCTGCATCTTGCAGCCAGAGGGCCCTGTTTGACATCAGTGGGGTTCCCTGCTCTCCCAGCTCAGAGCCCTCTGTGGCTCCCCACCGTCCTCAAGGAAAAAGCCAAAGCTGTCACTGATGTTCTGGGAGACCCCCCCACACCAGGCAGAGCCCGCCACAGGACCTTTGTACTTGCTGTCAAATCCTCCAGCTTTTACCTGCTGAACTCCTCCAGCTCTCAGTGCATCTTTGTCCCGGCAGCCTCCTCTGGCCCCAGTCAGTCCAGACAGCTGAACTGTGTTCCCTGTCAGGTGTAACCTCACCTGTCCCTGTCCCATCCCCATTGGAACACCGACACCAGGGGGGCATCTGCTTTGTGCCCTGTGTGTCCCCCACATGTAGTGTTGTGCCAGACACAGCAGGGAAACTGAGGCCTGCTGGCATTAGAACTTGATTCTGGCGGAGGACGCCAGCGGGAGTTTTGGAACCATCCATCCAGGCTGGAGTGTGCTGAGCAGATCTGAGACGAGAGGAGCTGGGGCCAGGGAAGGGGAGGGGTGGACAGAGGCCAGAGCTGCCACAGTGTCCGCAGGGAACAGGGCAGATGATGCATGGGGAACGTAGCACCTGCCCAAAGCTGGGTGACTGTCCACCGACAACTCCACGTGGTCAGCCTTTGGCTATGAAGCGAGATGACTCACCCTGATTCAGGCAGGTGGCTTGAGGCAGACTGGGAGCCACCTACACTGTGCTGTCCTGGGGTCCCCATGGGATCGCCTTGGGTCTGTTTCAGTCCCTTTGATTCTGAGATTTACCAATTCCCCCTTTCTGTGGTCCAGGCCCCCAGCCTCTGCCCAGGGAAGGGTCAGGGTTCTCGGGGTCAAGTCAGGTGAGATCTTGCCAGGCAGGCTTTCCTTGTCTCACCAGGGACCCCTGATGCCCCCTCACACCTGCCCCTGCCCCCTGCCTCTCTCCCTGTGGCTGGGTCTTAGTTTGCAAATACTGGCAAGGGGTCATGAAGGTCACCACGGGGCTCCCAGCTCCGAGAAGACATTTGCTGCTGTTGATAAGGGCTGATGGGGGGCCGGGAGTGGGTGGCGGGTGCTGCCAGGGTTATCTGGAGGGCCACTCGCGGCCAACCCATTTCCTGTCGCTATCGGCTGGTGGCAGCCTCTGGGACCGGCCTCAAGGCCTCATACACATCCTCCTGGGGGCCGGGACTGAGGGCTCTGGACGGTGGTAAACCCAGGAGAGTGAACTTCCAGAGTCAGGGCACTTAGTGCAGGGCAGGAGCAAGCTGAAGGCGGCAGGCGGTGGTCTGTGCAGATGGGATGCCCCGACGATGATTGTAAATGAGGATAGTCAGTACGGCTGCCGACATCCACGGTGCTGACCTGGCTCAGGCACTGTGTGCAAGCGCTTTTCCTGGATGGTCAGTTACCCACGAGGGGATACTCAGATGGCTCTTTTGCACAGATGGGGAAATTGAGACAACAAAAGTGGAGTCACCACTGCCTGGGCCCCCGAGGAGTGGTGGTGGGAGGTGCTCTGCCATGGAGGTGAAGGGCCTGGGCCTGATCTGGGGCCCTGGTACCCTCTGAGGCTGGCAGGGTGAGCTCAGCTGGGTCTCTGCCTCCCTGAGAAAGGGGCCACAACAGTCCCCCTGAGACCAGGGCTCTGTCCCTTCTCTGCTGCATCCCCAGCAGGCAGTGTCTTGAGAGGGGCCTCGGTGATTGGTTCAGGGTTAGGCATATGACCCAGTCTGGGTCAATGGGAGTCAGTTCTGTATTCCTACTGGTCCTCTTGGGGGAAGGAAGCTCTGTCTGCTGGGGAGCCAATCTGGGAGCAGATAAGCCTGGAGCTGCTGGGGTGGGGGGAGGGGTGGGGGGAGGGCAAAGGCTTGGAGTGGAGAGGCAGGGCTGTGTGCCTATGAAGAGGCCACACTAGGGAAAGTAGAGCTGAGGAGCCAAAACAAGGTCTTAGTGACATCTATGGGGCCCCTCGATCGAGCTGTGCCTGAATTAGACCCTGGACTTCCCCCATTATAAGGGCTAATAAATTTCCTTTTTCTCTTACCCCAATTTAATTTTATTTTTTTCTGTCATTTGCAGTCAAGACTCTGGATATATACAATCTCAAAGGGTCTGCATTACTTAAAATTAGGCTGAGTGATATACAATAAAAAAATAGTAACAGTGGTTCTTAGCAAGTTACAAGTTCATTTCTTCATTTTTCTCATGTAAAAGAAATTTGAAGCAGAAGGTCCAGTGTTTAAATGAGAGCTCCAGTCGTCAGAATCAGGCTCCTTCTAACTTCCAATGTCACTGTTTTAGTGCGTGGTTTACTTTCTCAAGACATCGCATGAAACAAGGTGGCTGCCAGAAATCCAGTCATCATCTCAGAGTTCTAGACAGAAGAAAGAAGGAGGAAAGTGAAAGGAATACCTCAAGCTGGGAGTTTCCAAGGAGGTTTCACAGAAATCGCACATTTCTCTTCCATCTCACTGACCAGAACTTAGTCACATGGCCACACTCAACCATGAGGAGTGGGTGGGTAATGCAGGTGTTTAGCTGGATTTTTACCTGGAATACAGAAAGCCTTTTGTTACTAAGGAGGAAGGTGGGACTGTCCATCATGCAGTTTCTCCTGGCAGTTATCTGTGAGTCCAGGATACTAACATCCCATTCACAGGGGCTTTGTGCCCACTGTTACTGACTCAGTCCCTCTCTCGACCTTCACACCAGCCAGGTGAGCTGGGTCTGTCATCGTCATGCCCACTTCTCACGTGGAGAAATTGGGGCTCAGAGTGGGCACAGAACTTGCCCAGGGTCACCCGGCTCCCCAGAGGCAGTTCTGAGATGGCAGCTGAAGTTTCTGCCTCATCGTGTTGCTCAGATTTGGTGAACAGTCATCATGGGGCATCTGACCCTCCTGTAGGACTTGCGGCCCAAGGTGCTTTCACATTTAGGGTCCTTGAGTGGGGTGCTGCCCTGGGCAGATGGTTTGATGTTCTCCCGTGTGCTGGCTCTATTCCTCCTGGTCAGAACCCTCCCACAAGGTGTGGGTTAATAGTCCCATTTTACAGAGGGGAAGACTGAGACTCAGAGGGGCTACGTGGTTGGTCTAGGCTTGGGTTTGACTGTGATGTTGGCCTCTGGCTCTGTGGCCCCCGGGAGCTCGAGGTGGAATGTCTTGACCAGGGCTCCCTCACCACCCTGCTCACAAACCTCCTCCAGGCAGGCAGAGCCCACTAGGCCAACATGTTACAGTGCAAAGTATTTGGTACTAGGGTACCTCTGGCTCTGTCTGTCCTCACTGCCTGTCCCTAGGCCGTAACTGGGTCATGATCACCTGCACACAGGGTGATCACCACCGTCCTCTCCCCAGACCACCACTAGGATGAAAGAGGGTGACTTAGGTAAAGTGCTCAGTGCTGTGGGGCAGGCACCCAGCTCCTGGAGCCTCAGCCCTATGCCCGTGGGAAAGCTGAGCAAGCAGTGGAGGGTGGAGGTGAGAAAACCACCCCAATTCCTGTGAAAGCCGCCCACTGCCTCTAGGTCGCCTGCCTTTGGATGAAGGACTCCATATTTCCAGCAGATGAGGCACACCCTCCCCTGCGTTACCCTCAGCTCTGGAACTTAAGGCTGTCCCCAGGGTCATGACAACCGACCGTCACTGAACACTTCTGATGGCTTTACATAGTCTGTTCCTATTCTTTCCCTGAATCCTCCTGGCAACCCACAGGCGGTTGACTGTGCCCAGCTCACAGGCAGGAAGACCAAGACTGGGAGGGTCAGCTGCCTGCCCGTGGCTAGAGAGCTGGTGTGGCCGCCAGGATTTGGACACGAGAATCCTGAATCTGGAGGGCACACGCCACCCTGCCCCAAGGGCTGGGCTCTGGCCTCGCCCACCCCTGCCCCATTCTCTCCTTCCTCACCCTCCACCCCTGCTTGTCCCTGCCTAGAGAGCTGAGTCACACTGTGCTTGTCCCCAGAATGTAAACACGGAACCGGGAGCCCCCTGGGATTGGGGGCTGTCCAGATACAGGGCAGCTGCCCAGCGTGCCCTGGGGCTGGGTGTCTGCACGGGGCATGGGCCACGGTGTGGGGTGGGCACCTGGCCTTCCAGATACCACCTGGGCCTCCTGCTGGGGCCGATAACTGCCCGGCTGTGCTTATCAGCCCTGTTCCACTGTCTGCTCACCTCAAGCCGTGTGTACACAGCAGCCTGGAGATCAAGGATGGGACAACTCCACCCCCCGCGCCAAGCCCCGAACACCAGCCAACTAAGCTGGCTACGTTAGAGACAACTCGAGAGTCCAAGGTGCCTCCTGCTGGCTTCCCTGGGCCCCATGATGGAGACACTTGTACATAAATTAAAAATGAAGGTCTTTTATTTCTAAATTATAACATTAGCAAGGTTGGGGTTGGAAATTCCAAAATAAAGGGAATTTAATCAAATAATTTACATGTGTGTTTAATAAACGAGAGGAAGGAACTAGTGTGAAAGTGTTATAGTCGCTCAGTCACATCCTACTCTTTGCAACCCCATGGACTGTAGCCTGCCAGGCTCCTCTGTCCGTGGAATTCTCCAGGCAAAAATACCTGAGTGGGTAGCCATTCCTTTCTCCAGGGGATCTTTCATACCCAGGGATTGAACCTGGGTCTCTTGAATTGCAGGCAGATTCTTAACCATCTGAGCCACCAGGGATGTTAATAATACAAGGACTACAGGGAAGTTTTATGTTTTTCTTAACATAATTCTATACGATATGCAACTGAGCAAGAAAAATTGGAGACCGAAGTTTGGCATCTGGTTGGTATTACATTTCTGTGCACATACTCCAAATACTACCAGGGTGGGGTCATTTCAGTGCTGTCGGCTTGCTTATATTGGTCTTCTGGGTGTCTCTGATGAGCCAGAGCTGGGTGGGGTCCCAGCTGTCCTTGCCTCCTCCCACCTCTTTTCTAGGGTGACCTACTCAATCTTCTAAAAAGGTAACACAGAACATGCACATTCCCTGACATAGAAGCCTCTGTGGTTCCCCATTGCCCTGGAATAAAATCTCAGTTCTGTGCCATGGCTGAACTGGCCCTGCCACCTCACAGATGCCTTTCTCACAAGCCACTCTCCCCCCAGGTGTTCTGTCCCTCAGCCTTAGTTCAAAAGTCACCAGTCTCAGCTCAGATGTCACCCCTGCTCCCCATCCGCAAGATGCCTTCCTAGCCCTCCTTATCGAAGCTGCTTCCCCACCCCCCCACCCCCTAGCTTTATTCACTGACTTTTCTTCTCTTTCGGGGCGGCTGTCTCTCCTTGTGTTGCCATCACCCAAAACAAGAGCCTGGGTGTGGCCTCAGAGCATCTTAGGTAGGAATGGGTCCAGGCTGCCTCTTGGCATCCTCCTTCTTCCTCCTTGGAGCTGGACTGTGTGCTCCTGGCATCCTGCTCCTGCCTGACCCAAGGCCTCCCACCATCCCAGCTCACCAGCCTTCAGCACATCCAGGATGCCTGCCCCTGTTTGCTGCGGATCCTGCCTCTGCCTGGTTGGTCTGCATGAGCTCACCTGGCCAAGGTGAAGAGTCTGCTTGGCTCTCATGGGTGGAGGATGAGGGACGGACTTGCAAAAAAGGCCACAATCCTGAGCCTGGAGCTGAGGTTTAAATAGGAGCCTCCAAGGTCACAGGGCATGGGGGGCCGGGACGAATGAGACTGCCATGTTCCTCCTTGTGGGGCAGGCCGGACAGAGAATCCTGTACTTACTGAGCACCTAGCTTCTGCCAGGTGCTGTGTTCACTGTTTGGCTGTGTCAGCTCACAAACCCCATGCAGCATGCATGTACATTGTCCCCATTTTACAGATGCAGAAACTGAGGTTCAAAGTAATTAGGAAGCCGGCAGAGCTGGGGTCCAAACCTCAGCGGGTCTGATGCCAAAGCCACCCCCTCAAGCTGCTGCTGGCTTCTCCACTGGAAGGAATGGCAGTGTGAAATTTGGTGCAGCCGTGAAGAACCATGAGGTAGAGGTACCTCTGTGACTTGGAGAGATGTTCACGGAGCACCGTGGAAGGAGAGCACCCACAGGCAGAAGCTTCTCGGGCCCACAGTCCTACAGAGCAATGATAGAACACTCCCTCCTCCCCTTCGCCACAGTCCCCACTCATCCTGACTGTGCTTCTCTCCAAGCTCTGGTGGGTGTTTTAGTTTGCTAGCTAGGAGCCATGGGAGGGAGTCAGTGGGGGAGAAAGGCATGGGCCACATCAGATACACATCCATTTTGTCCTCATCAACGTCTAAGTGGAGGATGTTCATGCAGTTAAGCCTTGATGGATGGATGGAGGGAGGGAGGGATGAATGAATGGAAGAAAGTATGGACAGAGAGAGAGAGGGAAGGGAGGACTGGTGGATGGAGGGATGCTGGAAAAATGAATGGTAGGTTAGATAGAACGCCAGCCCCCATCCCCACTCCAGTGAAGTCAGTGCAAGGGTCCAGTGCAAGCGTTTGGAATTAGACAGACATGAGTCTGAATTTGAGTTTCTTTCCTTACAAGCTGTGTGTCCTTGGGTGAGTCACTCACCTTCTCTGATCCTCAGTTTCCTCATCCGTTCCTCTTGGGATAACTGTGGAAAAAGCAGTGAGGGCTAAGTTTGAGGGAGGAGCTTGAGGAGTGCCAGCCCTTTAGTACAGTCAGTGCTGTTGTCCTTGGTCCAAGGAAAACAGGTCAGTCCCTGGGGAAACTCAGCATTTTCTCCGCTTCCATTCTGAGGATCTCAGGATTTCACTGGACCACTGCCAATACTGATGGCACCCCTTGCTCTCTGGCTTTAACCAGACAGATATAACCCCCCAAAGGCAAAAACAGTCTGCAGGGAACAGTGTCCTGGTGGCACTCACAGAACCTGGCTCCAGGGAACTTTCCCAAACCACACTGCATGGGCCCCACCGGGACCAGCTGAAGCTTGGTCTCTGGGAGAAGGGTCTGGGCATGGGTATTATTTAAAGAGCATCGCGATGATTTTAAAGTGAAGTTTGGCCTAAGAACCACCATGTTTAGTTCTATTTAATGTTTTGTATGTTTCCACCTGTCCATTTTTCCTGTTTATCCTCTCTCGTTTCTTCAGAGGTTCAAAAAGACTGTCCTCTGTAGTTGGAGGAAGAATTCAAATTTGTCTTCTTTGTAGGGTTTTGATGATTCATTTTTAAAAATATTTTTTGTGAATCCCCTTGGAGTATAGCTGTTGAGAGCAGGGGAGCTCCTCATCCACTTCTTTTATGTGGCTCTGAGACCCTCTGTGAATATAGCATGGGGTTTTTATTACAATTTAGACTGGTTTAAAAGAATAACACTAAATGCAATCACAGCAAAAAAGTGAGATGCCACTTCACAGCCCCTATGGTGGCTGGAAGGAAAAGTCAGGCAAGAACCCGTGTTGGTGGAGTGGGTGGAAATGAAACTCTGGGCTTCTCTTGTGGCTCAGCTGGTAAAGAATCTGCCTGTAATGCAGGTAGACCTGGGTTCGATCCCTGGGTTGGCAAGATCCCCTGGAGAAGGGAAAGGCTACCCACTCCAGTATTTTTGGCCTGGAGAATTCCATGGACTGTATAGCTCATAGGGTCGCAAAGAGTCAGACATGACCGAGGAGCTTTCACTTTCACCCTGCTGGTGGGAATATGAACGGAAGATTGTCCAGCAGTTTCCAAATGACTAAATGTAGAATTACCATGGGGCTTCCCAGGTGGCTCAGTGGTAAAGAATCTGCCTGCTAAGCAGGAGATCGGAGTTCGATCCCTGGGTCAGGAAGATCTCCAGAGAAGGAAATGGCAACCCACTCCAGTATTCTTGCCTAGGAAACTGGAAAATCCCATGGACAGAGGAGCAGGCCATGCTACAGTCCATGGGGTCGTAAAGAGTAGGAAATGACTTAGTGACTAAACAGTGGCAGCAGCAGCAATAACCATACAACCCATAAACTGCACGCCTGGGTATATACCAAGACAAATAAAAAACATACATGCATGCAAAACCTTGTCCATAAACATTCTAGCAGGGCTGTTCACAATAGCCCCAAAGTGGAAATGAACTCACTGTCCACCATTGAAAAATGGATTAACAAAATATAGTATCCTATACAAAGAATATTATTTTCCATAAAAGGGAATGAAATTTCCTTTTTAAAAGTTTTATTGGAGTATAGTTTATTTACAAGGTTTTGTTAGTTTCTGTTGTACAGCAAAGTGAATCAATTACACATATACATATATCCCCTCTTTTTTAGATTCTATTCCCCTATAGGTCATTACAGAGTACTGGGTACTGTTCCCTGTGCTACACAGTAGGTCTTCATCCATTATCTACTTGATATATAGTAGTGTGTATATGTCAACCCCAGCCTTCCAGTTTATCCCTCCCCCCTTTCCCCTTTTGGTAATCACGTTTGTTTTCTACACATGAAATTCTGATATATGCTACAGCACAGGTGAACCTTGAAAACAGGATCATAGCGGGCAGAAACCAGTTGCAAAAGACCATGTCTCCCATGATTCCATTCGTATGACATGTCCAGAATAGGCAAATCCATAGAGGTAGTAACCTAGTGGTTGCAGGGGCTGGGAGGCCAGAGGGTGGCCTGCCACATACCAGGCCCGCCTCACCAGGCAGGTCTTATGAAACCTGCAAAGCAGTGAGTGACTCTGAAAAAATGAGAAAAGACAATGAAAGAGTATTCCAAAAGAGCCACGAAAGTCACCACGGGAAAAAGCAGAGCTCTGGGCCCTTCCCGTACGTATTTATCACTGAATATCACTTCTGCTTTGGGTGATGCATGTGATGAGTTCCCAACCCTTCTTGATGTTTGTTCCCCAGGTGTCTGCTTGGCTAGAACCGTGGGGTAGAGGCTGTGAACGTGGGCTCAGTCCCTGCGCTGGGCTGCGTCTCCAGGGAACAAGGGGAGGGGAGGCTGTGGCCTTAGCCAAGATGGGGAGGGGACCCAGACCTCTCCAAGGCCTTCACTCACACTCGTCTGGCCCTGGGCCTCCATAATGATGGTCTGTGGGGACGTGGGTACCCTGGCTGTGGGCTGTGGATCCAGCTGGGATCTGACCTGGGAAGGGCTAGCAGGGGTCCAGGTCCTAGGAGAGAAGGGGCCACCTGATCTGGGTGCAGGGAAAAGGGGATGAGCCTGAGTGAGGGCTGCACCCCTCCCTCCTGACCCGAGTCTTTGGGGAAGGAGCAGGGAAGGAGCAGGGATTGCCCGTGGGAGTGTGGTATGTGGCTGCCTCCCGCGGGCTCCTCCTGGGACTGCCTCGGTCTCCTCCCAGGGCCACACAATTCAGTTTTGACCATATTTGCCTCAGAGCCAAGTGGCCACCCTGTGGAACTGGGGTATAAATATCAGTTTATTTACTCTGTGTCCCAGTCGAGCATGCTTCTGAGGAACGCAAGGCTTCCCTGCTGGCTAGCCTGAGAGTTTGGAAACAGCGCCCCCGGGGCAGGAGTCATCTGGAGGTTCTGAGTCACATTCACTGGGCCGGCTTGGAGCTCCTCTGCCCAGGCCACCCTGCACGGTGGCTGTGCAATTTACTCCAGAGAGTGAAACACACAAATTCTCTGTGCACTCTGACCTCCTGCCGCCCCCTTGTGCAGGGGCTCCGCTGTGGTCATTTACCCCCTCCCATGCCCAGATTTCCCCTTGGGGAACCAGCCCTTCCCCACGTCTGCCTTTCAGTCTCCAGGGCTCCAGATCCCAGCCCTGACCCTCTTAGGGTGGGTATGTGACCCAGACCTGGCCAAAAAGAACACTGCATGCCACTAGCCTTAGAGACTAACTCAGGAGTGGGCACGTGGTCTGCCCGTGGGCAATGAGAGATGGTGAGAATTACAATGGGAGAGCTGGGAGAAGTGGGCCTCCTTTCCTGTGGATTTAACCTGGGGGTGGGAGCTTTGGAGCTGCCAGGGTGACCCATGTAGCATGAACCAGCATAGGAGGAAGCAGAGACATTGCATCTTGAGGACAGTATTTAAACTGCTGGACCCAGTCATTCCTGAAGTCAGGGTGAGAAAGCCTGTCAATTCTCTTTTTTCATTAAACTGGGGAGTTAGTTTTCTATCAAGTCGTCAAAAACTTAGTGGCTTAAAACAACACTTAACAGATAATTATGTCCTACTTTTTGTGGTTCAGAGCTCCAGATACAGCATGATCCAGACAGGTCCTCAGCTTAGGATGACGAGGTCAAGGTGTCTGCAGAGCTGATCCTTATGGGAGGGTCTGGGAAGAATCCTCTTCCAGCCTCATTCAGATAGCTGGCTAAACTCAATTCCTTGTGTCTATGGGACTGTGGTCCTCATTTCCTGCTGGCAGACAGCGGGGGTGGGTTTTTTGTTAGAGGCTGCCCACATTCCTTCTCTTGTTTCCCACGTGGCTCCCTTTGGCAACAATGCAACCGTGGATCAAGTCCCTTTGGTGTTCAAATCTCTTCAACTTCCTCTTCTGCTGCCCCTCTCTGCCTCCTGCTGGAGAAAGCTATCTGCTTTTAATGACTCATGTGTTAGACTGAACCCACCTGGATAATCTAGGATACTCTCCCTCTTTTAAGATCCATAATCTTAATCACATCTGCAAAATCCCTTTTGCCATGTAACCAAATATATTCAAACTTCATATAGTCACAGGTTTCCAGGATCAGGACACAATGTCTAAAAGGGAGGGGCATTATTCTGCTGACCCGAGAAGTCTGACTTGGGTTTTCTGTCATTTGCAAAGGAAAGGATCTTAATTGATTTACCCACCTTCTGGGGAATGATTAGTTGGACATGATTGACTCATGCAGCTGAATTTCTGGCTTCAGGAATGTCTGGATCCAGCAATTCACATACTGTTATAGGGATTCAACTTTCTCTATTTCTCAGCCTATGTTGGTTTCATGCTCAGAATCCATGGCCCTTGGCTCCTACCCTCTGGGTTACTGCAAAGGAAAGAAAATGTGTCTCCTTCCTGCTGGTCCCTAACCTTAGCCAAGCCTATCAAAAAGTCAACCTCCTTTATCTTGAAGGGCAGTCTAATTGTTTGCTCTAAAATTCCCCACCTTGGTTAGATTAAGGCTCTCTCTTTGATGAGCCTCAGAAATTGAATATTTTCCCCCAAGTAACAGGACATTGTGCCCCAAAGAGTCTCTTTTTGTTCCTTCTACAAAAGCGCAACCTTCTCTCTGCAGCAATACAAACAGGTGGGTGTGGTTACTGCCCAGACAGGAGCATAAGCAAAAAAAAAAAAAAATCATTGGGTTACAATTTTATGAAGGAAACAAGGTGAGGTACTGGAGAAGAACCAGGAGGGCCCAGGTGAGAGGTGCGTGGAGCAAAAGCCAGTGGAGAAGAGCCATGGAAGGAGGCAAGAGGCTGGAGTGTTCCAAGGGACTCACAGCCTGAGAGAGCAGCCTGAGGTTGAATGCACCCGGCCAGGGTGAAGAACTGCGGCAGGTCAGGAGGGTGAGAGTGTGATCCGGGAGGCGGTTGAGGTTGGCAGAGTGGATAGGAAAATGGAGGGGGATGAATGCATTAACCTACCCCTACTTCCTGCAAAACAGAAACTGGCTTGGCTTTGGATTAGCAGCTTCCGGGAGGGTTGGGAGCTTGAGGCCTGACTGGGAGCACCCCCTGGTATCTCCCTCCCCTCCCCGGGGCACCCCTCCCCCAGCACAAACACACTTGCAGTAACCTAGCCTGAGACCATCCCCGGCACGACTTCCGCCCCGGCTTCCGCCTGGCCTCTCAGAATAGCACTTGGCACCTCATTGAGGTTTCCACCTGCCACCTCTAGCCCTGCAGGCTGTCTTCACCCACCCATTCTCTCCGAAGAGGAGGGGAAGCCCTATTGTTCCTCGGGTGGTTGGCTTTGTGAGAAAGGGGAACAGACAGGTCCCTGAGGGGTGTGCCCATCACCCCACCCCCTCTGCCTCCAGCGAGTAGTTTCTCCTGTCTCCAGCTGTCAGCAGTCACCTTACTCCTACCATCGGTGGTATTTCTATGCAGGATAATTGCCTTCAATTGTCTTCAATAAAGAAGGCAGAGTGCTGAAGGATTGATGCTTTTGAACTGTGGGGCTGGGGAAGACTCTTGAGAGTCCCTTGGACAGCAAGGAGATCAAACCAGTCCATCCTAAAGGAAATCAACCCAGAATATTCACTGGCAGGACTGATGCTGAAGCTGAAACTCCAATACTTTGGCCACCTGATACGGAGATCCAACTCATTGGAAAAGACTCTGATGCTGGAAAA